GTTTTAGCGTATTATTAATATAACCCCTTGTAAGTGGTTAGAATATTTTAAAAAATATTTGCATTTAAAATGCATTTTGCCTAGATAAAATTCGCCAAGTAAATAAACCCAAATTATTTTTATAATAACTGTACTAATCCGGTTATTATTCCTCTAAAAATGCACTCAGATTATTAAACAAATCCAAATATTATTATGTAAAACCAATGCGCCCACACAAGCAAAAAATTGCTAATGCACCGAGTAGAACTGCAGAGCCGAAAAAAATAGGATAATTTTTCAGCAAACCGACGCAGGGCGTACATCCACGTAATACCGTATAATTGTATATGGCTTGAAAATTAAATTTTGATTTATACGATTAGTTCTGGTGATTATTCGCTACACTGAAACTAAAAGCCATTTTGCATTCGCGCCAAACCTACTGAATCAACGATATCATCCAGCGTTTTTTCATACATGTTAAACATTTTTGATGACTTTAATTGATAAGGTCATAAATTTTGTACTGCAATCGAACTACCTTCCAACTATGCGATTTGCATTTGGTTTTTATCCCATTCTTTACCGAATGATGGATTTTTTGCTTTTAAAACGTTTAGCTGCTAGGTATTGTGACAAATTGGAGAAATTAAATGCCTTTTAATAAAACTATCGATCAAAGCACATAAATAACAGGGGACTGCAGCAAAAAGGTAAAAATTTACATTAAAAAAAATAAAGCGTATACGCTATATATAGATAAGTAGTTTTGAGTAAAACTAAAAAAACCGGCCAGACTGTTATTATCTAATTAATCAACGCGCAGTTTTGATAGAAATTTGTAGTGATTTATTTTTAAAATATTGGAATTTGATTCGACTTATAGAAAAAGAGTATTTTGTATAATAAATGACACATGTCTGGTTATGCAGCTAATACTTGAAAATGCCTGCTTATGCTTCTGAGCTTCTAATGGTAAAAACACCAAGTCAATAGACTAATAAAATTTGGGTAGTAATACTAATTAATTAACATTTAACTATTATTGATTGGCATAGGGTGGACACGAATGAGTTAAATATTATTGTTATTTCCTCATAAATACTGCACATTTTTTATTTTAATAAACATAAGCATTCACAATAATTTAAGTACTTATTCCACCACGTGCTGCGTATTATAAAAAAATGTAATATCATTTAATGCCACTGTTGAAAACGAGCATGGTCACGTGACTAAACACGACAACCTGATTCGTCCAAGGAAGAAGTCTGCTTTTGCATCTAAGCTGAATACGCAAATGTCTGGTTTTAAATCTAAGGCTAGATTTTAGAAAAAAAGGTCTCTTAAATGATCAACAGCATGGATGCAGAGAAAGTGGGGAAGTAGATACAGCCGTTAATAAATTACTAACGTAAATTTTAAATGCTCACGATGAACATCTTGACATTAAATGGCTTGTTGTGATCTAAGCAAAGCCTTTGACACTGTTAGTCACGAATTGTTATTGGACAAATTATAATTATAATTACACAAATATGGTATCAGAGGCCAATGTCAACAATTTTTAAGATCATATCAGATGTGTGCACAGGTAGATAACATTATAAAATGGAAAAATAAATATTAACAAGAAGATTTAGTTCATCAATGGTCAATATTAGGTCCCATCCTTTACTTTATTTACATTATTGATTTACCAGCAAACGTTCCACAATGTGATATTTGAAAATATATGCAATTTTTCTGTGATCCAATGTGGTTTATAATAAAGTGTAATACATCTTTCGCAAAAGACAGTTGGCTAAAGTCAGCCATCGGAAATGGTTTAATTTTCATAGATTTCTATTTAATTAATCAGCTGGACATTAACCAGAAGACAAGATCAATTTGATACATATATTTTTAATCCGAACTTAGATCATTAAAGTCGACATTGAGTAATTCGCAGATTAATATTTTATAATTTGCAGGAGCCAGTTTTTCGAACTGCTCTATTTGCTTGCCTATCACACCTGAAAAAGCGAAAGGGACTGTTTTTTTGTCGTCAAGATGTTTAAAGAGATGTCTTAGTGGTAGTTTGTTACCATATGGTTTATATGAAGTTGGCAGATAAAGTTTATCTTATCGCTCTTTACAATGGTTTATCTGATAAACCATTCTAAAGAGCGACCCAATTTTTACTCCACTTTTGTTAAAACTCCATTTTTCATACCCCTATTAACGACTGTGCCGTCACATCCTACCCCGACTAAATCTTCCAAATTGTAGTCATTTTAATCCAGAAAATTAACAACGCATTCACAAAGGCTTTTGGCACCAATTGGTGCACTACGCGTGGTATTATGGAAGGAACAAAGCCGTACCTAGTACTATTTTTTTAACTATAAAATTGATAGATAGCAGGATTTTCCAAAGATAAACGTTTTAATGATACACTAAAATCACTATCACTCACGTGGTTATTTGCCTCGGCTTTCGCCTCGGTAAATAATTTCCACATTCATAATACAAAATACGACTTTACTGCCTTGATACATAAATAACTATTTTATGTACAATTTTTAAAAAATCTGATTTTTTTAATACTTTGATGCTCCGTAGGGGGCAAAAGATTTATCACCATATCAAAACTGTAAATAAAAATCATCTTTGCATTATCAATCTCATAATATTGGGCGGTATTCCAAATCAAAATAATCAAAATTTTAATTTGTTTTTCAATTTTTTATTTTTCGGCCCACCCTAATGTTTATCCTTTTTGTTATTAAATCCTTTTTATAACCTAGAATTCTATATTTTAAAATTTGTTTTTATAACGTTTTTTTTATAATAATTATATCTATTTGTATTTACCTGCGTTATACTTTTTATATTTGTATTTAATATTTACTTACATTGTAATATTTTTTAATGCATTATTTGACGTACCTACATTATAATTTTAATAAAACTGTAATCTGTTCTATTCCTTGTAAAATTAACAAAAAGATGGCTGAACTCACTAATTTTTTTAGGAGATGTCAAAATTTGTCAAAATATTTAATATCAGTTTTTAAATCTATATACGAGGTGTGTTCAGAATATATCGGGAATTTTCGTTTTTTGAAACAAATATTTATTTATTTGTCTACATTAATGTTGTCGCCTTCAAAATAGTCCCCATTGGATATTATGCACATGTGCCACCTCTTCTTCCAATACTCGAAACACTTCTAAAACTCGATCTTTGGGATAGCCTTTAGTTCTTTCAGCGATGCGCTTTTAATGTCATCTATGCTTGGAAAACGACGGCCCTTTAAGGTTCTCTTTATTTTTGGGAATAGGAAAAAGTCAGACAGAGGCATGTCTGGCGAATATGGGCCAAAAATGTTTTTCAAAATTTAACAATTTTAGAACAAATTTTGCTGCCACGCGTTTCATACCCAAAACATTCGAAAAAATTTCATGGGATGAGCCAATCGATATACCAACATCATCAGCGACTTCTCTGATGGTTTATAACTATTTCTTCCACTTTTTCCATGTTTTTATCGGTTGTTAATGCGCTTGTGCGTTCGGGACGTTCGTCATCTTCAACATCTTCACGGCCATCTTGGAAACTCTTATACCACTTGTAAACTCTTGTTTTACTTATAGCAGACTCACTATAGGCCTTTGTTAACATTTTACAGAATTTATTTCATTTTTTAAGCAAAATTGAAAACAAATTCTTTGATCCATTTCTTTTAACGAACGAAAAATCGCCGAGCTCATAAAACACGTCTAACCTTAGCGGCTGCCACAGACATAATAAACAATGAAAACAGCTAAAGTTTTTATGATACTTCGGGGGCATATATACCAACATAATAAAGAAAATTTTATGACAACCGGACCCTCCGAACCCGCGAAATTTAACAATTCCCGTTATTTTCTGAATACACCTCATATACTTTTTTTCCATGAATATTAATAAACATTATAAATTTCCTACCTACCAACGGGAATAATGGACTCATTATTTACGTTGTTAGGCATTAGTGATGGTGATGGTGATGGTTTATTTCAATATTCACTGGGATTTAAACCACTTGGGCTTTAAATTGGAAGAAGGCGATAAAGTATAGTATTACACTCGAGATTAGGCGCATTATTCACTCGGATGATTTGAGTCTCTCGCCTGGCGACTCGAGATGCAAACCTCATCCTCGTAAATAATAGTCTGATAATAATCTCGTATAATAATATACTATTGTTTTTTATAATCAAATCTAAAATCAATTAAATGATTTATTTATAAAAGTTATCTCCAAAAATAAAAATTGTGTAACCACATTGTCCAAAACGTTTTATACAAATACTTTAACTTAGGGTCATACGTTTTATTATTATCATTATTATTAAAATTATTATTATTGACGCCCGGTAGTGGTTACATGGTAATAAAAAAATACCAAATTTTAATGCACAACAACTACATTTTAAGGAAATACGTATTGTTGTATAAAAAATATCGAAAAGAATTTGGTCTCACTAGAAAATAGTTTCTGAAGCTAAATGGTTTTGGTTAAATTGTTATATTAGATTTAGCAGGTTGTTTTTACTATATAACTTAGAGAAAAGTATAATCTTTCAAATCACAACTATTGTCGAAAATGGAAGGTACATACATCAGCCAGAATAACAATATTTTCAGCAAACTAAGCGTAGAAATCAAACCGCTACAGCGCGCTGTTTAAACCAATCCTTCGCAAGATTAAAGAGTTCCAGCTCAATGAACAAGATCGACCAGTTATTTAAACAAAATATCTTACCATTATCACCTGAAGACGATTGGAGACAACCAATCGAAACGTTGTGAAAATCAAGAAAACCAAGATGACGACATCCCATGTAACATTACTACAACTCCTTTATCTACCAACACCAAATCACTATTGGAAACACGGTATGGACCCGGAACCAATAAAATATTTCGTAATAATGAGAAACTATATACCAAACTAGCGAAAGTTGAATCACATTTAAACTTTCTAATGACGGCAAGGAACCAAAACATCATCCCAAAAGGATTCAAACTTAAATCTTCCATAACCAGTAAACGTGCAAAGAAAATCTTAGAAGAAGCCAGCAAAAAACTAGAACGAGAAAGAATAAACTTCTACAGATGGAAAAACATAATTAAACAACGGGAATTAATCATAAACCAGGTCAAAGAGAACACCTCCACACACTTATTCAACAATATTAAATCACACTACAAAAAGACTTTAGACAACATAAAAAGAGGACATAAGAGAAAACTATCAAAACTACAAACTGCTTCACCAGACACCAAACAAAAAAACACGGTAGTCAGCATATCAACTCACATCATTGGAAACAGGGATTCTCGAAAAAGGCTTAGGTTTTGCTACCGCATCCAAAAACAACACTATACAGGTCATTACAGCCATCCAATTGATGGCAAATCAATTAACAGAAGAAACGCAAATGAACTTCGATGGAAAGTAAAGTCAATAATTGAGGAACAACTAAAAACAAACAAAAACATCAAAATACTACCTGCTGACAAGGGCAACGTGACCGCAACATACAGGGCAAAAAATGTAAGCATCTTGGCAACACTCCTACAACATGGTCAAAAAATATCCAACAGCCTCCATTGAAAGAAAGATCTACCTAACTTTAAGGAAGTACAAGGACAGTTTCTCAGACAAAGAAAGATCCACCTTAACCCCACATTACAGTAAACCACCACACCTTTATGGACAACCAAAAATCCATAAACCAAACATACCACTAAGGCTTATTATTATCTCGAGGGAACCTACAAACCTACAAACTATCGAAATATTTGTTACCCATCATCCAACCATTAGCGGGAAAAACAAACTCTTTCGTGAAAAATTCTAAACACTTTGTTGAAACCATTCAAAACATTACATTGGACCCATGAGATCAACGGTGAGTTTTGATTTAGAGAGTTTATACACCAACGTTCCTATAAAGGAGTCACTTAAAATCAAAAGCCACAACAACGAGTCTCTTAAGCAATTCCTCAACCACATAAACCCAACAAGACCCACCATCAAATTCACAATGGAGAAAGAAAAAGAAAACAAATTAGCGTTTTTAGATGTATAAGTCACAAGAAAGGAAAGGGGCTTGGCAACTGGTGTGTACAGAAAACCCACAAACACAGGACAATACCTCCACTTCAACTCCAACAATACACAAGCAACCAAAATCGGCTTAATTAAAACCCTTATTAATCGTTCAAAAAACTTATGCCGCACAATTTGACAGAGAGATGGAAAACACCACCAAGGACCTAACCAACAACGGCTATCCCACGAAGGGATCATAAAAATTCTAAACGAACAGAGAAAAACAGCGGCAATAAAAGAAGAGCACACCACATTAACAGGACAATACCTTACGAACAGGGCAACTCCGAGAAAATTAGAAGAATCGCAAAACCTCTAGGAGTAAGAACGGTTTTTTCTTCAAGAAACACACTCAGAAGCCTATTAACCAAAAAACGTAATTTATCACGTCCTTTGTGATTGCGGACAAGCCTATATAGGAGAAACCAAGAGACCACTAGAAGTTAGGATAAAAGAACACAAAACACACACAACAAAAGGGAAAACCATGAAATCTGGATTAGCTGAACATGCATGGAAGGAACACCACAATATCTCATGGCTAAACGCAAAAATTCTACTCAGAGAATCACACTGGCTGAAAAGAAAATTCCTGGAAGATACATACATCACCCAGAATAAGTTTCGAAATATTTTACCATTATCACCTGAAGACTATTGGAGACAACCAATCGGAACGTTGTGAAAATAAAAAAAAACAAGATGACGACAGTCCAATGCAACATTACTATAAATATGTGTATTTTATTCCCACTTTAAAGTCGACTCCATTGTTGTAGTGCTCTTTTAGATAAAATAGTAAACAAAATTATTTATAAAAAGCATATCATGTGCTTTTGACACGCTAATTATTAATTCTTGTTAAAGTATTACAAGAATTTTAGAGCTTCAAGTTCCTTATAAAATTTTTATCAACAAACTTCTAAAAATGTCGAAGTTGTGTGGTATCTGCAAACTGCATTTAGCTTTAGGCATGTTATTAAAAAGTTTACTGAAAAGTTAAAAATCTTAATAAAGAATTTTGTTTGTAATTTTCCATTTAGTTTAAGAGTTTTCTTTATATTGTTGCAATTTCAAATACTTTTTAGATGATTCAATATTTTGTTAACAATTATTATTTTTATTAAACAATTTATATTTAAACAGTAATTATTTAAGATTTTTTTAATCACCATTATTAAATTATTAAATATTATTTAATTCTATATATTTTGTATGTTTTAAATAAAAATACCTAGATATTAAAATAAATAATGATAGAATTATTCAGATGAAATATAATATAAAGCATTTATTTTTAATTTATTTTTATATAATATGATTTTATATATTTATATTTAATGCAATAACGCATATTTTAATATATACTTTATTTAAATTTTAATTAAAATACTAAAGATTTAAAACAATTTATATTACAAATTATATATTTTATTAAGCTATTAAAAAGTAATACATAGAAGTTTTTTTAAATTCTGTATCATCAAACTGCTTTTAACCAGGACTAATCCATTTAGAATCCCAAATAGAAAAAAATATAAAATTAGCTTTTCAGGGAAATGACAAATTGTTGTGTGAAATCAGCTGCAAACATACGTTTCTTCATTTAAACCGATTGTGTAATATCGACGGGCGTTATCAAAATCAACATAATTTTGACCAGATCCCGGCAGGGAATATACAGAGGCAGAAACGAATCCATTACAACTGGCGATAATCAGATGTTCTCATTTCCCGTCGACTGCATGAAGAGATAGAGGAAATCGGGGTTGCGGATTCTTTATTATTTATTGATCCCGATATAACTTATTCAACGTTTTATCCTTTGCGCTGTTTGGCTCCATTAATTAGTCATCTGCTTAAATAATTGCTGGCTGTACATTTGGCAAATGTTTCGTTGCGGAAATGGATCCGAACGACTTTGAATTCGAAATTATGCAACAATTTTAATAAATTCATTTCGAATCAACATGCAGCATCAACCGGCACCGCAACGATTCTGCTGCCAACGCTGCTGTTGTTATTTTGTTGTTGTTGTGTTGCTCGTGAATTGAATAACGACCCACGTTAATGGAGCTCATAATTAATTTTACATCCACTGATTAATAACGATTTATTTTGTTTGCATAAGGTCCAATAAATCGCGTACAATGGTTTTAAACAAATATTTCGATAATTCGGATAGGTATTTATTATTAGTTTAACAAGTAATGTTAAGCTTTCAATTTATTTTTAAATGTGTTATTTAATTTCTTCTATAATATATTATATTTAAATTTTACATCTTAAGGTATACCATTTTTAATTTTTATTTATATATTCCATCGTCTTATGTGGCGATTTCAATAAAAAAGGTTAATAAAGCTCAAAACAAGAAGTTGAAGTTGGTTTTTACAGCGTATAATTTAAACCCAACAGTTACTGACATCACAAGGTGTTCTTAAGGTGGTGGTTCTATTATTAATAAAATGTACACAAATCTAAATACAGGAGAGTGTAATATGGTAAATAATAATTTTTTTCTACTCCTATTACAAAATATGACCGTTATAATATAAATTTTTAATGGGGAATTAGATGTGTTCCTTAAAGTGTTAGAGTATGAATTCATTCTATCACCGGGTAACGGAATAACACAAACTTTCTTAGAAGTATGTGATATGCGGAATAACCACTGGTGGCGATATCTCTCTGTTTATTATCTAACAACTTTTAGACCGATACAACCTCACTTTCTCCCAATTAAATTATTTTTTTTATGGTAGTCTGGAAAAGTTTTGGAATTGCATATAAATAAACACATAAACTTTTCACTCGAGCGGAATATACCGTATTGCAAACTTGTTACAGATTATACTATTCTAATCCATACATGTATATTATACATACTAAAAAACGTCTACCTCCTATAATAAAAATATAACAAATTTTGAAGTTCTCAATAAAAATAGTTGGGACGAGGTATGCTAAACACCGTTTACCAATTTGACAAATTTAATACAAATTTTTAGTCCTGTTTTAAGATTACTTAAGTAATCTTAAAATTTTTCGACAGGTTATTAAGCGTATGGCTTGGAAAAATATATATATATATTAGGGTGTTTCAAAAAAATCGACTTTTTGTTTTTCTTCAAATGGTCGGCAAATTCTTTCAGAGGATGTCAACATAAAGACCTCGTCAAAATTTGAGCTTTTAATTTGAAGATTTAGAGGTCGCGGATCGCAATTTTCTATTTTCCATTTAAATAACATGGGAATTTTTTTTTTTTAACTTTGAAGTTTTATACGTCTGAATCAAATCAACTTATGTCAAGGACCATCTTAGATTTTCATAGTAAATTTAACGCTCTACAAAAAAGGTCTCCTATCATTTTTCTATAAATTGATTCCTTCCAGAGTTATTCGAGGCCAAAGTTTGATTTCCATCGAATTTTCGCGTTTTTTTTTAACATTTATGGTACAATTATCATTATACGGGTGTCCCGAAATCTGGGGGCCAAACTTAAACAGTGCATTATTCGTATAAAAATAACACTTTTTTTGTTTAATAAACATGTATCAAAAAATGCTCCCTAAAGGAGCTACGGCCCCCTGAATAGGAGCCTAAGAGGATAATTTTTTTAAAACTATTCCTAGAGGGTTGAACATGAACAAATGAATTTTTGGTACTTTGGTAATTTTGACATGCTGAATCTAGATCTATGATCAAAACTGTTAAAATTTAATCATAGGCGTAACATTTGGAGGGGGCAAAGTTTCAAAAATAGCCCCAACTTTTTTCTGGGTTAATAATTTAATTTTTTTTATGAAATTATGAGAATTTACAGTTTTGTACGAAAAATAGGTACTCTTGATTTGAATTGCTCAGATGCACCATTTTCGAGAAAAATGCATTTATAAATAAATTACTCTGCATATTATACACATCTCATATTTTCATTAAAACTTTGTAGTAGGCTATGGAAAAAAGTGACGTTTTTTTTGTTTTTTTGTTTTTTTTACAACACTTCCTATGTTTCAGATATAAATATGTGATTTTTTTACTACATGATGCTAAAAGTTGAAAAAACGAGAAAATTCGATGGAAATCAAACTTTGGCCTCGAATAACTCTGGAAGAAATCAATTTATAGAAAAATTATAAGAGACATTTTTTATAGAGCGTTAAATTTACTATAAAAATCTAAGATGTTCCTTGCCATAAGTTGATTCGATATAGAAGTATAAAATTCCAAAGTTAAAAAAAAAAAATTCCTATGTTATTTAAATGGGAAATAGAAAATTGCGATCCGCGACCTCTAAATCTTCAAATTAAAAGCTCAAATTTTAACGAGGTCTTTGTTTAGACATCCTCTGAAAGAATTTGCTGACTATTTGAAGAAAAAGAAAAAGTCGATTTTTTTTAAACACCCTAATATATATATATATATACATATATTAGGGTGGTCGTTAAAAATTAAATTTTTTGCTATGCCCCTTAAAAAGCTTCTTTTTGATGAAAAACACTGGGAATTTTTTTTTAATTAAAAACAACACGTGCCTTAAGACGATCTAAGTTAATTTTTTGGTCTTTTCTGAAAATATGAAATATTAATTTTTTTGAGATTTAAAAATTATTAACAATGAAATAACTTCACCTTGAAGTAAAGAAATCTAGATATTAAAATTACGTTTGTACTAATTTAGTTTCAAAATAAAAATATCAATTTGAATATCTTTAATTTTTTTATTTAATAGACCAAATCAACTGGGAAAAATTTTGAATTTAAATTTTTGTCTATTGTTATTTCGATTAACTATTGTTTTTTTATTGATTTGGGTTCTATAATTGTTTATATTTCAAATAAAATTTTATTTTTCATAAAAAATTCCCAAAAAACATGATTATACCAAAAAATTAACTTAGATCGTCTTGAGGCACGTGTTGTTTTTAATTAAAAAAAAAATCCCAGTGTTTTTTCATCAAAAAGAAGCTTTTTAGGGGGCGTCGCAAAAAATTTAATTATGAACGACCACCCTAATATATATATATATATATATATATATAATATATTCTGTATTTTTCTTACGTCTTTTTTAATTTGTACAGTGTATCGGTGCATTCGCCATTTATGTGAATTTTTTTTATGCTCGTTTGTTTTCAGTCATCAAAAACTCGACCCTCTTAATATCCCTTTTTATTTGGCATCAGTAAATATTTTAGTGCTGCAAATTAAAAAAACCTTTAAGCTTTGCATGTATTTGTCATTGTGGATTAGGACATCACAAAATGAAAAGTTGAATTACGGTAGTAATTGAAAAAAAAACTCTTAGGTAAAAA